GTCACCCTCCGCACCCCCGCCACATCCAGGGCCAATGTACCCGCAACAATCGACGGACCCGGCCCGGGGGAAACGCCCACCGCCCCCAGGTCACACCAAGCCTGTCCCCCCAGGACACCACGTTATATACAGGTACAAACAAATCGCACACCACTGCTGACGTGTCAGGTTACCACCCTCTGACGCTGTCAGGTTACCACCCAGTGACGCTCAGGTTGACACCCTCTGACATGTTAGGTTACCACCCAGTGACGCTGTCAGGTTACCACCCTCTGACGTTGTCAGGTTGACACCCTCTGACATGTTAGGTTACCACCCAGTGACGCTGTCAGGTTACCACCCTCTGACGCTGTCAGGTTACCACCCTCTGACACTGTCAGGTTACCACCCTCTGACACTGTCAGGTTACCACCCTCTGACACTGTCAGGTTACCACCCTCTGACACTGTCAGGTTACCACCCTCTGACACTGTCAGGTTACCACCCTCTGACACTGTCAGGTTACCACCCTCTGACACTGTCAGGTTACCACCCTCTGACACTGTCAGGTTACCACCCTCTGACACTGTCAGGTTACCACCCTCTGACACTGTCAGGTTACCACCCTCTGACACTGTCAGGTTACCACCCTCTGACACTGTCAGGTTACCACCCTCTGACACTGTCAGGTTACCACCCTCTGACACTGTCAGGTTACCACCCTCTGACACTGTCAGGTTACCACCCTCTGACACTGTCAGGTTACCACCCTCTGACACTGTCAGGTTACCACCCTCTGACACTGTCAGGTTACCACCCTCTGACACTGTCAGGTTACCACCCTCTGACACTGTCAGGTTACCACCCTCTGACACTGTCAGGTTACCACCCTCTGACACTGTCAGGTTACCACCCTCTGACACTGTCAGGTTACCACCCTCTGACACTGTCAGGTTACCACCCTCTGACACTGTCAGGTTACCACCCTCTGACACTGTCAGGTTACCACCCTCTGACACTGTCAGGTTACCACCCTCTGACACTGTCAGGTTACCACCCTCTGACACTGTCAGGTTACCACCCTCTGACACTGTCAGGTTACCACCCTCTGACACTGTCAGGTTACCACCCTCTGACACTGTCAGGTTACCACCCTCTGACACTGTCAGGTTACCACCCTCTGCCGCTACTTAGACACCACTCATTACCCTGCACCTTGTGGTTCGATTAGATCATCTCGATCCATCAGGCTGTCATTTCTGACCCTTTTCTGAACATAAGAATATCCAGACGGGGTCAGACCAAAGGTCCCTCCAGCCCAGTACCTGTCTGCCAACAGTGGCCAGTGCCAGGTGCCCCAAAGGGAGTGAACTGAACAGGTATCGATCAAGCGATCTCTCTCTTGCCATCCATCTCCACCCTCTGACAAACAGAGGCTGGGGACACCATTCCTTACCCAGCCTGGCTAATAGCCATTGATGGACTTTACCGCCATGAATGTATCTAGTTCTCTTTTAATCCCTGTTATAGTCCTAGCCTTCACAACCTCCTGAGGCGAGGAGTTCCACAGATTGACTGTGCGCTGTGTGAAGAACTTCCTTTGATTTGTTTTAAACCTGCTGCCTATTTACTTCGTTTGGTAGCCCCTAGTTCTTATATTATGGGAACAAGTGAATAACTTTCCCTTATTCGCTTTCTCCACCCCGCTCATGATTGTATAGACCTCTATCCTATCCCCCCTCAGTCTCCTCTTTTCCAAGCTGAAAAGTCCCAGTCGCTTTAATCTCTCCTCATATGGGACCCAGGGTCGGTATCTGTGGGGAGTGGGTACCAAGGGCTTTTTTAAGGAGCTGGTGGTACCATGTGTTTTCAACTTATGACCTGCACCAATGACTGTTCGGCACTTGGGCGTATTACCAAGTAGCGTTTTCAGCCCTGTTCACGCCAAGTCCTGTGGGCAGGGGCCTGCCTCTTGCTCACTGCTTAGCTTTGCTTTGTGTCAGCCATGGTTTGTCTATTCTTAGCGAGGCGTCAGACCAGGCCTGTGCTACACGGACTCGTGTTTTAGGCCTTCCTCTTACTACAGCTGCTGGCTCATGTGTAAGCAGGATGGGAACGAGTCTCCCCGAAGCCATCTGGGACGGGGAGAGACTTGAGGTGCAAGCTGCGTGTCCATGGACATCCCAACCCTGCCTCTGCAGCCATGGGACTGGGCAGGGCTGAGAGACAGGGCAGGAAATGGCGTCTTTGTCGGCTGAGTCAAGGGAACGGAGCCGCGCCGAGCCTGTCCCAACGGAGGGCAGCAGCCGTGTGAAACCTTGGGGCGCCAATGCCAGCTGCTGGGGATGTAGAGAGGGGTGGGGGCAGGAAGCTGGATGCTCCGAACGGCTCCCTCCCGGGTCTGGTTGAACCTGTTCCTCCCCACTGTTCAAACAGCTTAATACGTGTCATTAGAAGCCTTTTGTTATGGCGAAGGGCTCCCAGGGGAGCTGAAACGGGACCTTGCTCCGGCACGTTTCGACCCCGCTTGGGAAGGGCTGGGCTGACCAGCAGACAGCCAGGGGCCAGCAGAGGGCTGACAGTCGGCTGCTGGACAAGGAGTTGGCGAGGCAGCCAGGAGAGAGGACCAAATGCAAGCGCTCGGGTGATGGATCCAGCAAAGTACCATCTGCCCTGCGTGGAAGGTGAACTCACCCGGAGGCACCCCTGCACCAGGGACCCCTTTTCCGAGCTAGGACAAGCCCCATTCGTGGGGCAGGGGGAGGAGGCAGAGAGTGGCCCAGAAGAGATGCTTTCGGTTGTGGGATCCCAGCGCCGAGATGATTATGAGCCCAGCTGGCGGCCTTTTCCCCAATTCGTGCCGGGCGACGTCGTGCCTTTCAGGGACCGTGTCTTTGCTGCGCTCAGGCTGTGTGCTGAGAGGAAGCCGAGCGTGGCCAAGGCGCCCGGGGTGGTGTGCATACAGTTTCGGGGTGGGAGCTCAAGCCGGTTTTGCATCGCATGCTTGAAAGGAAACCCTTGTCTTCAACCCAGCCCTGGTTGTGGCCGGCTGCAGCTAGCAGAAGGTTTCCACAGAGCAGCACCCTGTGCCCGGTACCAGCCTTTTCCGGCTACCCATGATGCAGGGTACATAGGAACCAGGGCACCAGGGCTGTAAGGGAGGGGAGTGGCAGTGAGTGGGCTGGCTTAGCATGGCCTGAGAAGGGGAGCCGGGCAGCAGGACACCTTGGTCTGAGCCCTGCTGTGGGAGGAGGGTGCGCCCATTAGCACCACGCCCGCCGGGTGGATCTTGTGACCTTGGGGACTCTGGGGGGGGGCCAGGCAGCCGGTCCCATGGGGAGTCTCAGCTGCCTGCTGCCCACCCTGCTGCTGCTGCTGCCCCTGCTGGGAGGTGAGTGCGGGGTCTTCTGGGGCCCCCACCACGGGAGTCTGCTGGCATGGGGAGCAGACAGGGATAGAACAGGGGTGCTGGGTGTGGGGCTGGCAGCCAGGATGCCTCCGTTCTGATTTCTGGGGCAGAAAGGGGGTCTGTTAGGTTACAGCAAGGGGGCCTGGGAGCCAGGACTAGCCTCGCCCATGGGAGGGGAGTGGGTGTCTGTCCCACCCATATCCAAACCCAGTGGACTGGAGCTGTCCATGTAGAATGCCTCACTCACTGATAACCTGTGGGACTCCCTGCTGGGGGACTCTGCCTTCGTTGGGTTTCCAGAGGAAAAGGCCCAGGTGGGGTTCTCTGCATGTATGCTGGGTGGGCGTGAGGGTGGAAGTGAGAAGGAGAGATGAGTTTGGGGGCTGTGAGAATGGTAGGATGTGGGTGGCATAGGAAGGGCAGAGAGAGGCAGGGCTGGGGGCAGAGGAGGGGATGTGTGGGGCTGGAGTGGGGCAGGGAAGAGTTCCTGGGGGTTGCGAGGGAGATGCCCACCCATGCAGGAGAGAATCAGCGAGGGGCAGCCCTGAGGGAAGGTTTGGGGGTCTGCCCATGGAAACAGTGGGGGTGTTTGTGTGTGTGCCCACACGGGTGCAGGGCTGCCCCCTGCTGGAGGGGATCAGGGCTTGGCTCTCCATCACACCTCGCTCACACCTCCCTCTCTCTCTTCCAGGTGCCACAGCGTTCCAGTCAAGTAAGCAACCTGGGCTTTCTCTCCCCGCGCCGGGAGGGGAGCGGGGCTGGTGGGTTAGAACCGGGGGCTGGGAGCCAGGACTCCTGGGGTCTATTTACACCCCTCCCCTCCTTTGCCCCCAGCCTGTGGGCAGCCAGTGGCCTCCAAACGCATCGTCGGGGGCCAGGATGCCCAGAGCGGGGAATGGCCCTGGCAGGCCAGCATCCGGTACAAGGGATTCCACGTCTGCGGCGGGGCGGGTCCCTCGTCACGGAGGAATGGGTGGTGTCTGCAGCTCATTGCTTCGATCCGTGAGTACTCCAGCCTGTTCTCCAGCCGCCCCACCCCAGAGGTGGCTGCATTTGCGCTCTGGGGCGGGAGTAGAATCACACACTCCTGTCCCATGTCTCCCCCCTCTCCCAGGCGTCTGTCCCTCTCCGCTTACTCCATTTCCCTGGGGGAATTCCAGCTGAGTAACCAAAATGCCAACGCCTTCACCACGGCTGTGGCCCAGGTCATCATCCACAGTGAATACGACCCAGTCACCTTCACCTCCGACATCGCCCTGGTCCGGCTACGCACGCCCCTCCACTACACCACCCACATCCTGCCCGTCTGCCTCCCGCGCAGCAGCGACACCACCGCCAACGGCACCCTCTGCTGGGTCACCGGCTGGGGCAATGTGCTGTCCAACGGTAAGACGCATGGCAGGACGGGATGGGGGGACGGGGAAAAGGAGGCCTGGGTGTGATGGGTTGAATAACAGAAGTCCCCTTGGAGTTGTGCCCTGGTGGGCTGCTTATACCACTGATGCCTACTTCCTGCCTGCTGGGCTCCCCACCACCCTGTCCTGCTGGGCCAGATCCTCTGGTCTCCCCTTGGCAAGTCACAGAATTGGGGTGACCATCCCCCCCGCCACCGTACAGCAACCAGTTCAGCTTTGCTCAGCCCTAAGGACTCAGCACCCAGAAAACCCAACCCCTCCTGGGCCCAGAACCCCAAATAAACCCATCCTAGTGCTTTACACAGCGGAACTTCGTGAGGTTGGCCTCCCGATCAGTGACAGAGAGATATGCACCATGGTTGTCCTCCCAGGGAACAGTTATTGACACACAGCTCGATAAGAAATAAAAGCGCTTGTATTAATTACAAACAGGGGTACCTCAGGCCCGGGGGCCCGATGCGGCACCCCCTTGCCTGGATATAGCACCGAGGCTCAGCATTAGGGAGCTCATAAGAACATAAGAACGGCCATACTGGGTCAGACCAAAGGTCCATCTAGCCCAGTATCCTGTCTGCCGACAGTGGCCAGCACCAGGTGCCCCAGAGGGGGTGGACCGAAGACAATGATCAAGCGATTTGTCTCCTGCCATCCCTCTCCAGCCTCTGACAAACAGGGGCCAGGGACACCATTTTATCCCCTGGCTAAAAGCCTTTTATGGACCTAACCTCCAGGAAATTATCTAGCTTCCCTTTAAACTCTGTTCTAGTCCTAGCCTTCACCGCCTCCTCTGGCAAGGAGTTCCACAGGTTGACTACACGCCACACAGCCCAGGCTGTAGCACACCACATCTACTCGCCTGGCCCCCCTAGGCTCTCGGGGTGCGAGGGGAATGTGGGGAGGGGTTTTCTTCTCAGCCAGGGGCTTCTCACTTTGCTTCTCTCTTGGCTGCCAGCCCCCGACTGATTTTTCTGTGGGTCAGCAGCCCCCCGCCCTAAGAATGGTTCCCTGCCCCTGATTGGAGGGGTTGCAAGTGACAGCAGACAGATCAAAGTAAGTCACTACATGAAAATGAACAAAAACTCGTTCTAAGCTACAGAGACACTGGTTACGTGCCTGAAATGGCCTTCGCGCAGGAAAACGCGTCAAGTCAGAGCTGACCTGTATCTCGCCGGGGTCGCCAGCCCTCTTCAGGGTTCTTTTGCATCCTCCCCGGGCGGGCCAGGCACTTTCAGAGCCCCGCTGAAGACCTGGTGGCTTCCTGTTGCTTAAATAGACTTTCCCCCAGGGCGGGAACCCTTGGTTCAGCATCCCCCATCGCCATGGAAATGCAGCAGGTTCAAGATGGACCCAGTCCCAGGTGGCCGGGTCACATGTCTGTCCAGGACCAACCGGAGTTTGGGTTTACAGGGCAACGACGCCCATTCACAACGCGTCGGTTTGAGCACCGCGTCGTTATGTCTCCAGCGCATCGCTAACGACCCTCATTAGCGCTCACGGAACTATGAACAGCTCCCCCCTCCGTACGTCTCGCTTCTCCCCCGGGCCCCGCAATTGGGGGGCCCATCCGCAGCGTGTAACGGCTAAAAGGATGGGTCCCATCACCTGTTTTGCATAAAGCCTCTTTCAGCTATGCATATTCATAAGGCAGTTTTCATCAGGCATTGGGGCGGGGGCTGACCCGGGGCAGGGCCCTGGAGGCAGGGGGGGCCGCCGGGGCCCGGGCGCCCGGGGGCAGCGAGGCTGTAGGGGGGAGCTACACCGCTGAGTCACCCCTGGGGGCAGCGAGGCTGTAGGGGGGAGCTACACCGCTGAGTCACCCCTGGGGGCAGCGAGGCTGTAGGGGGGAGCTACACCGCTGAGTCACCCCTGGGGGCAGCGAGGCTGTAGGGGGGAGCTACACCGCTGAGTCACCCCTGGGGGCAGCGAGGCTGTAGGGGGGAGCTACACCGCTGAGTCACCCCTGGGGGCAGCGAGGCTGTAGGGGGGAGCTACACCGCTGAGTCACCCCTGGGGGCAGCGAGGCTGTAGGGGGGAGCTACACCGCTGAGTCACCCCTGGGGGCAGCGAGGCTGTAGGGGGGAGCTACACCGCTGAGTCACCCCTGGGGGCAGCGAGGCTGTAGGGGGGAGCTACACCGCTGAGTCACCCCTGGGGGCAGCGAGGCTGTAGGGGGGAGCTACACCGCTGAGTCACCCCTGGGGGCAGCGAGGCTGTAGGGGGGAGCTACACCGCTGAGTCACCCCTGGGGGCAGCGAGGCTGTAGGGGGGAGCTACACCGCTGAGTCACCCCTGGGGGCAGCGAGGCTGTAGGGGGGAGCTACACCGCTGAGTCACCCCTGGGGGCAGCGAGGCTGTAGGGGGGAGCTACACCGCTGAGTCACCCCTGGGGGCAGCGAGGCTGTAGGGGGGAGCTACACCGCTGAGTCACCCCTGGGGGCAGCGAGGCTGTAGGGGGGAGCTACACCGCTGAGTCACCCCTGGGGGCAGCGAGGCTGTAGGGGGGAGCTACACCGCTGAGTCACCCCTGGGGGCAGCGAGGCTGTAGGGGGGAGCTACACCGCTGAGTCACCCCTGGGGGCAGCGAGGCTGTAGGGGGGAGCTACACCGCTGAGTCACCCCTGGGGGCAGCGAGGCTGTAGGGGGGAGCTACACCGCTGAGTCACCCCTGGGGGCAGCGAGGCTGTAGGGGGGAGCTACACCGCTGAGTCACCCCTGGGGGCAGCGAGGCTGTAGGGGGGAGCTACACCGCTGAGTCACCCCTGGGGGCAGCGAGGCTGTAGGGGGGAGCTACACCGCTGAGTCACCCCTGGGGGCAGCGAGGCTGTAGGGGGGAGCTACACCGCTGAGTCACCCCTGGGGGCAGCGAGGCTGTAGGGGGGAGCTACACCGCTGAGTCACCCCTGGGGGCAGCGAGGCTGTAGGGGGGAGCTACACCGCTGAGTCACCCCTGGGGGCAGCGAGGCTGTAGGGGGGAGCTACACCGCTGAGTCACCCCTGGGGGCAGCGAGGCTGTAGGGGAGAGCTACACCGCTGAGTCACCCCTGGGGGCAGCGAGGCTGTAGGGGGGAGCTACACCGCTGAGTCACCCCTGGGGGCAGCGAGGCTGTAGGGGGGAGCTACACCGCTGAGTCACCCCTGGGGGCAGCGAGGCTGTAGGGGGGAGCTACACCGCTGAGTCACCCCTGGGGGCAGCGAGGCTGTAGGGGGGAGCTACACCGCTGAGTCACCCCTGGGGGCAGCGAGGCTGTAGGGGGGAGCTACACCGCTGAGTCACCCCTGGGGGCAGCGAGGCTGTAGGGGGGAGCTACACCGCTGAGTCACCCCTGGGGGCAGCGAGGCTGTAGGGGGGAGCTACACCGCTGAGTCACCCCTGGGGGCAGCGAGGCTGTAGGGGGGAGCTACACCGCTGAGTCACCCCTGGGGGCAGCGAGGCTGTAGGGGGGAGCTACACCGCTGAGTCACCCCTGGGGGCAGCGAGGCTGTAGGGGGGAGCTACACCGCTGAGTCACCCCTGGGGGCAGCGAGGCTGTAGGGGGGAGCTACACCGCTGAGTCACCCCTGGGGGCAGCGAGGCTGTAGGGGGGAGCTACACCGCTGAGTCACCCCTGGGGGCAGCGAGGCTGTAGGGGGGAGCTACACCGCTGAGTCACCCCTGGGGGCAGCGAGGCTGTAGGGGGGAGCTACACCGCTGAGTCACCCCTGGGGGCAGCGAGGCTGTAGGGGGGAGCTACACCGCTGAGTCACCCCTGGGGGCAGCGAGGCTGTAGGGGGGAGCTACACCGCTGAGTCACCCCTGGGGGCAGCGAGGCTGTAGGGGGGAGCTACACCGCTGAGTCACCCCTGGGGGCAGCGAGGCTGTAGGGGGGAGCTACACCGCTGAGTCACCCCTGGGGGCAGCGAGGCTGTAGGGGGGAGCTACACCGCTGAGTCACCCCTGGGGGCAGCGAGGCTGTAGGGGGGAGCTACACCGCTGAGTCACCCCTGGGGGCAGCGAGGCTGTAGGGGGGAGCTACACCGCTGAGTCACCCCTGGGGGCAGCGAGGCTGTAGGGGGGAGCTACACCGCTGAGTCACCCCTGGGGGCAGCGAGGCTGTAGGGGGGAGCTACACCGCTGAGTCACCCCTGGGGGCAGCGAGGCTGTAGGGGGGAGCTACACCGCTGAGTCACCCCTGGGGGCAGCGAGGCTGTAGGGGGGAGCTACACCGCTGAGTCACCCCTGGGGGCAGCGAGGCTGTAGGGGGGAGCTACACCGCTGAGTCACCCCTGGGGGCAGCGAGGCTGTAGGGGGGAGCTACACCGCTGAGTCACCCCTGGGGGCAGCGAGGCTGTAGGGGGGAGCTACACCGCTGAGTCACCCCTGGGGGCAGCGAGGCTGTAGGGGGGAGCTACACCGCTGAGTCACCCCTGGGGGCAGCGAGGCTGTAGGGGGGAGCTACACCGCTGAGTCACCCCTGGGGGCAGCGAGGCTGTAGGGGGGAGCTACACCGCTGAGTCACCCCTGGGGGCAGCGAGGCTGTAGGGGGGAGCTACACCGCTGAGTCACCCCTGGGGGCAGCGAGGCTGTAGGGGAGAGCTACACCGCTGAGTCACCCCTGGGGGCAGCGAGGCTGTAGGGGGGAGCTACACCGCTGAGTCACCCCTGGGGGCAGCGAGGCTGTAGGGGGGAGCTACACCGCTGAGTCACCCCTGGGGGCAGCGAGGCTGTAGGGGGGAGCTACACCGCTGAGTCACCCCTGGGGGCAGCGAGGCTGTAGGGGGGAGCTACACCGCTGAGTCACCCCTGGGGGCAGCGAGGCTGTAGGGGGGAGCTACACCGCTGAGTCACCCCTGGGGGCAGCCACCCCACCAAGGGAGTTCTGGGGGTCTGCCATCTGCCTGCCAGCAGCCAAGTTAGTGGCTTCCCTGCCCCAACTCCCTGCCCCTGGCTCTTGGCCCCAGTGCCAGGCCTGGAGT